ACGCAATATTTTGAGGATTACACGTCGTTTTGGAAAGAGAGAGTGAGAGAAATGTGTGTGGCAGTTTGCTTCGGCTTAAGCCAATTCAACGACCGAAATGGACACGTAAATGAAAAAAACCGAAATAAAGACTTAATGCAACATTCACCAGCACATTTTTCTCCCACTCGCCGAAACATATACATTCCAGATCATGATACTGCAGCATCGGCAATACTCATCAAAAGTTATGGCTTTCGAGTGAGCGAGCGAGAGAGAGAGAGTAAACTTTTTATCTTGTATTTAATCTGGTTATTAAATTAATAGTTGGCATACAATGTAAGTGAACATACAAACGATTCGGATTACAACATGTGTGCGTGTGTACATGTGCGCGGAAGAAATGCAAAGTTTTTGTTGGCAAACAGTTGATGCAGCACTTCAGTTATTTTGTGTGTGCATGTGAGTTCCTCGCATCTTTGCCTGACTTCACAGATTACAGAAATCACAATATTTGAGAAATACACTTCGCGCATTTCTTCTTTTATTCATTTTTTTATAAGAAAGACAGTTTACATTTTTTTTCCTGATTATAAATCTCAAAACAATATCAACGTTGCTCTGAACAAAGAAAAAAAAATGTACAAGAGATTTCCGAGAGATGTAAATGGTTTTAGTTTACCCTGCAATGACATTTTCCATTACGATCCATTCTCAAATGAAAAAAGTCGGATTTTGATATGGAAAAAGTGACTAGAAGAAAGAAATTCAATTTCGTCTGGGAAAAATGAAATAAATTCAAAGATTTTCATTCGAAAGGTGAATGTGAAATCTGAATAAAATGGTTTATTCCGAACATTTTTGGATTTGAGCTTATTCCAGCGACAGATTTCATTTGTAGTAGATCTAATTTGAGATGAGTAAAATCTTGACACTAATTAAAATTGCATATGGTGTGTAATTCATTTCGTGGCTTTTATGTTGACATGCTTTTTCAGCGGATTAGGAATATTCCATTTTGCAATATTCACATTCATACGAAGAAGACATTTTTTTATGGATATGTTTGCCCCGGGTTGCAATTTCACTTGTTGACAAAGTATTTGACATGTACAAACGAATGAATGAAATTAAAACGAGAAAAAGGACGGTAATGTCGATTTTCAAATTTTTTTTGTGTCGATAGTGTTTTTCTGACTATATGCGCTTTACTTAAGAGCACACATGGATTTTTGCGATAATCTGATTAATTTATTCGTGTACGCATATCGCTCAATGCATACTGAACACTTATCATTTTTGGTGTGTTGCTCCCATTGGCTCATGGTATGAAATATTCTGTGTGTTTCAAGCGCAACCAGATGGAAGGCATGTAGCCCACGTAAACAAAAATAAATAACATCGACGACCACGACGCGATAGCCAATGCAAAGACATGAAAAACGACCATATATTCCGTTCAGTCAACAGAAAACACTAGCGAGTAAATTAATGGGATTTTTTTTATGAATCCACATAAAAAAGGCAGCATACAAGTGTAATATGAAACAAGGAAACGCAAAGTGAAAAAGTGTGCGCTTTTTCTTCGTATTCTTGATACCATGCGGAATCCGGCCATTTCGGACTATTTCACAGAAGTTCCTGGCGCCAACGCGGTAAACATTCATTTTTCATTTTGGCTTTGATTTTTTTTCTCACTCTTCTTTCTCTGATTTTTATTTTTATTTTACCACACTCTCTTCAAGTTGAAATGAAAGTTCAATTTCTACGCTGACCAAAAGTCTACCATTCAACTGTCGTTGGGAAGAAAAGAAGATAAAAAACCCACGAAAAATGGTTCTCCGTTCGTTTTTCGCTCAAATATAAATGTCTGTAGATTATGATTGGTATAATGTAATGCCTATTAAGGAGTCATCACTTTGATACATTTGCCAAAATTGAGAATGCACGCGAGAAAGGAACTCAAGAGATTTTCCATCAACATCGACCATAATAATGCTAAATAAAAGCCAAGTCGAAATTAATGTATAAAGTTTTCTACATTCATTTTTGGGCGCGTTTATATATATTTTTTCAATGCACTTGTTCGCCTCTTTTTTTTTCTTTAGAAACATTTCACGCGTTTTAATGTATATATGGTTAATTTTTCATAACCATCGACCATGCTGTAATTGGTTTGATTTCAAATTAATCATGCATGGAAATAATGGCATGAGCGGTGGCGGACTCCAGGGGACATAACATTCAAACATCAAACGAGACTAAGTGAGAAAGATAGAGAGGAAGATGGGTGGTGCGAACATTTAATTAATGAAATGCGTTTCGTCGGAAAAGCATCTCTGACAAAGCCACTTAGACAAAATGAACGCAATAATGCTTGAAACCATTTTTCCGGCATTCGCACTTCGAATTATTTCATTATATTATTTTTTTTTGTTGGTGTTGTTGTTTTGGTTTGTATTTTTCGCCGGCTTGATCTTCTTTTGCGTTTGATATGCGTGCATAGAAAAATGAAGAAAAGCACTTGAAGCCAATTTTTGCACTTCATATCTCATTGAATCATTTTAATTGCGTTTGATATACACTTTTAACGTGTATTCCTTTTTCCGCTTGCATTTATTGTTCTACGTTTATTTGATGCATCAACTGATAAATCGTAAACATTTTCAAAGAGAATGAGAGAGAGAAAAAAAGCGTTCGCACTCAGAACTGTTTGGCATTTTGTCCGCTTTGTAATTTAATACAAATGAGAGCCTTTTCCTTTTTCATGCAACCCTTTCCATAATTATTTTATCCGCACACATTTTTCTTTCGGAAAAGAAAAACCCTTTTTCATTCCACTACTTGTCGTGGCTTTTTTTGTGGTAAATATTTTGTTAATATAGTGACGAATTTCAATGGATATATTTTTAATGCCTTATATTAAAATCCTCATATTTTAGTTGATTATTACAAATTGTGGGTTTGGCCTTTCTTTCTATAATTTTTTTTTTCTTTGTTTGACTTTTTGAACGGACGAGTTTTTTTATCCACTTTCCTAAAGCGTATCTACAGAGACAATTAAGGGGCACAATTCACTGCTACCATTCCGTTATTTTATTATATTCTTTTTTTCCTTCGCCACTTTTTTTCTTGTTACATTTATTGTTGTTGTTTCTTTTGCTCATTATCGTTCATATGGTCGCTGTGTGTTCCTGTTTATAATTTTGTACGATTTCCGTTCTTTTGCACGTTTAGTATCATCATAATGAATGGGTTTACTTATGGCTGATGGTTTAACCAAGCGAACAGGAAAGAGAAGATTCCAACGAAAAATTAGTGTGGCAAATACAGACACAAAAAAAAGTTCCGAAATAGCAAAAAAAAAATACAAAAATAATAACGACAATCTGAAGGGATGAAAATAAAACCAAAGTGTAAATGTAAAATGAGCGCATATGCTGTAAAGCAAACAGTAGCAGTAACAAAAGCAAATGAAAAAAATGTATGAATTTTTCGCATTTTTGAATAATTATTAACACAACGAGAGAACGAATTGAATATTTCCATTCTGAAAATTTATTCGGGAAAATAACTGTGATGCTATCTGTTGGCTCTGTTCGTTTCATATCATTTTCCGACATTTTTTTTCTCTTTCGCCGTATGATCTGAGTTTGACTACGCTTTTCATCACTTTTGCACCTTTTGACGATCCGGATTTTCCAATTCGCTCTTTTTTTGCCTGTTGTTGCTATTCGTTTTCGCACATTTTTTCATTCTCCACTTACCGCCACCAAAATGCACAGCACATTTTTTTTTTTTTTTGGTGTCTACCTACTTATTGTATTTAATTCCTGAATTTTCACACACAACTGCCGATTATTAATTATCCACAGCGTAAAAGTATGCAAAAGAGGAGAACGAACACAACCGGACGAATAATAAAAGAATTAAAATGATGAAAATGAAATAAAAAGAAAAATTCGAAGAAATAAAAAAAAATATAGCCTGAAAAAGTGACGAGAAGTTATAAAAGCGGAATTGATGAAATGAGCACCAGCAGCAACAGTAATAGCATTGTGTGTATTCACTCGAATCATACTTGTGTAAAAGAAATTGTTGAGATTTATATGGCGACAGTGGAAGTGGTATTCACAGCATTGAAAATGAGAAAATGGAAACGGACAAATACGCGCACTGATGAAATGAACAGACGAACAGGTTCAAAAAAACATTAACACAACTATGACATCTACACCGGTTTTCGTACTCTACTTATTTCTATTATATAAATTTATGCCACCATAACGATTAGAAATGTTGTCGTAAAAAGGATCCGAGCTGAATTAAAACTATAATAAAGAATTGCAAAAGATGTGAACGAAACAACAAAGTGGCATATTCGTTTGCGCGATGGTAACGCATCGGGTTATAAACGTTTATATTATATTTTCGCATAACCGACCAATTTTGAAATGGTCTCACGGTATTTCTTTATATTACACGCATATCGTGCGCACAACACTCTTTTATACCGTATAGAAAATGACATTGGGTGAAATGGTAAAATGCGGTGTGTGGTGTATGTGGTTTTTTGTGTGACTCTTGCTTGACGGTGTGTAACAGTGTAACAGTGTAACAGTGTGATTGTACGAAGAATTGAAAATAACAAAATTTTATGTAGTTGCTGGTTGTTCTGTATTATATTATGCTAGTGAAAATGGTCTGAAGCTAGCAATGAATTTGTCTGAATTACAAATTGAGAAAAATTGAGAGTGGGAAAAGATAGAGAGAAAGGGAAAATCTTGTGAATAGCTGAACAAAGATGAGTATGAATGTGAAATAAAAGGACGTGAACACACGTTGAATGGCAAATAGAATTGGATGGTGGACTGAAGCAGACTGAAGGTATAATAGAGGTAGGTAAATGATAGAATGGATGCAAAGTGTATTAAATATAAAGGTAGAAAATGGAATCGCTCAAAAGACAAAGTAAGAATAATTAATGGTTAAGAACGTGAAAAATTAAATTTAACTCTTACCTACAGCGAAACATAATCGCAACCAGTTGGCAATAACAATGTACCTTGTGCATCTCTCATTTTGTCATCTGCCACTCTACTATCTCTATCACTTAATTTGCTATTGCTCTTTATGTTGGTGCTGCCGTTTGTATTGGGATTGGTGACAATGGCAGTGGTAGCGACGGTACTACCCACAAGACCAGATGTGACATTACTTGCCGAGCACATGTTCTTACTTGAGCATCCCGTATTTGGTCCGATCGATCCCGAAATGATTGCAGCTCTTGATGTGCTAGCACCGCTTGAATCGATGCCACTGCTAACGCAACTAGCCGATACACTAGTCATATCGCTTGAAATGTTCACACAATCGATGGCACTTTCTTTTTCTTCATCAGGTATGGAGAGTATTGAATTACCACTGGCCGTTATTCGTCTGCCCATATTATCGTATTTGGTTGGATAGACAATTGTTGTTTTGCCGTTGTCTTGTTTCTTCAGGCAACTAGTGCACAGACCAATCGAACCATTTTCAGTGAGATGGTGCGTTGTCGTATCTAAGTTCTGATAATTTATTACATTTTGAAGGCGTGTATTTTTACTATCGGCTGTCGATGACTGATTTCGACTGGACGCACCGCTACATGTACCATTTCCGCTGGTACTGTTGCCATTGCCACTGCCCAGGCTGCCGGTACGTTGATGTCGATTTCGCGGTAATGTCGCGTACGATGATACATTGATTGGGAATAATTTGCCAATGACCCGATTCGGTATATTTAATAGATCTGGATACATTTGCTCAGGATTGTCGATTACGTCTTGAGTTAGTTGTACCTAAAATCAAAAATAAAAAAATAAAAATCAAATTAATTTTGCTCATTTTTTGAGACTAATATGATTTGTCACTGTGACTTACCGATATGAATATATTACCATATGCTGGATTCGATACATTAGAACAAAATTCAGGCGGCGGTGTAAACACACCCACATTCATCGGAAACTCTTCGTTTCGCGATAAATTTTCAATGGTTATTTGTACTGGTTCTAAAGCTATGACCGGTTCTTGTTTGGCCACCGATGGCGTATTGGCCACTTCACCGCTGTCCTGTCGATCGTTTGTCGTTATACTAAGATCAAGTAGTTTCTTTTCTTGATCATTAAAACTGACACTGCCTTTAATGTTTTTTATGCTACGCCGTCGTCGCGTCGTCTTTTTACACAGACACACCAGAAACGAAATGGTAATCAAACAGAAAACAGTGCCAAATGTACCAAGTATTAAACCAAAATACCAAAATGTTTCGGGACCTTTTTCGATGACATGCTGCACAATTTCCGTTAGGTAAATGCTGATGTTTCGGCTTGCAGAACCGATATCATTTCGTGCAGAACAAACATAGATTCCAGCGTCATAATTTGTGATATTCAATATGGTAATATTGCGCCATAATTTATTGCCGATTGTTTCATCTTCAGTCAGTACGTTATCGTTTATAATATCACGGCCATTCAATTCCCATGCAACGGTCGGTAATGGATCGCCGTAAATCAAGCAGCTCAGCGTCACATTGCTACCAATATCAACATTGAATATATCCTCACTGTACACATCAACTGTTGGCTGGCATCCAAATTGTGATTCATCGATGCTCGACCATATTTTCGTTCGTAATGCCATTGGATTGGTGCATCGTAAACTGGCGCTTTTCTCATGATTTTTCACATACCAATTTCGAAAGTGTCGTAAATGACAATCGCATCGCCATGGATTGCCCTCCAGCTGTAACGTTTTCAACTTTTGCATATACTGAAACACTGGCTCAACCAAATTCTCCAGTAAATTATTTTTTAAATTTAGTAATTCTAAAAGCTCTAAATTCGCAAATGCCAACGGATCAATGCTGTTAATTTGACAATTATGTAAATCTAAGCTGCGCAAATGTGGCAATACCGGAAATTGATATGCCATCAACATTTTTAATGGATTCCCATTCAAATACAATATCCGCAATCGATCATTGCCATTGAATGTATTTTTGTCAAGCGTTTCAATCGAATTCTCGCTCAAATCGATTTCAACGAGAATTTTCAAGTTTTTGAATGCATCACGATGCACGGACGTGACACCCGATTTTTTTAAATAAATTCGCTGCAAATTAACCAATCCCAGTGTTGTGAATTCTTCGCTATTCAACGTCACAATGTCATTCTCATTGAGTACGAGCACTTGAACCTCTGTGCTCAATGTTGTTGGTATCGCGGTCAACTGGAGCGCATTACAAATCACCGATTTTTTTCCATTCGTCCATTTGCATGTACAATTCGTTGGACAGCTGGACGTCCAATCATCACTGGTCGCTTGTGATGCTACGAACAGTAATAAAACTGCAAAGAAACGAGAAAGAGAGAAAAAATGATAAAAAAGGAAAAAAAATTTAGCCATCGAATGCAATAAAAAACAATGAACACTACAATTTATTTTATTCTATTCTAAAGAGCTGGAAAATGGACTTAGTTTCTTCTATGTGTCCGTCCGAACGACATTCAAAGTGCAACTATGACGATGATGATGACAACGACAAAAACGACGACGACGACGACGACAACAACAACAACAACGATGAAGAAAATATTGTCAAACGACGAAAGACGAAAAAAGAAGTAACGTACAATGACTAAAACAGAAAACGAAACATTGGAGGAAGCAATCAGTTACTCTACGTTATGAATGTGCTGTAGATTTATTTTGAAATGACATCAAACTCGTTATCCAACAAAATTACATTTTGCTGTTTTTGTAGCTCGGTGTGACGGTGCGTGTACTTGTAAATTCAACATTTTATGTTGATTTTTCACTATTCTTCTCAATTCTTTACATATTTCAGTCAATTTCCTTTTATTAAATGCCCCAGAACCATTTTTATAACAAGATACGATATATATTTTTTTCGACTTGAGAATTTTTTTTCTTTCTTTTTTCACTCCGTCGTCGTTTTCGTCGTTTTCATTTAATGCACAAAATAACAACGATAAAAGCGAAACATTGAGTGCACAAAATGACGATGCGAAGAGGAATGTGAAAAGATTAGCTGGCACAAGAAAAATGCCATTATTTTATTTGTTCAGGTTTAATGTCTGCTTAAATAGGCTAACACAATACAATTCAATTGTCAGTCGAAGTGGGATGGGCCAAAGGGAAAAATAGGTGAGAGAGTTTAGTCAATGGGGTTACTGCACAATGTACAGTCAAAAGTTTTCGGTGTAAAATTCAGTTGATTATTTGCGACAATAAATATAAATAAATAATTAGTTTCGAGAATTTATCGCAGTTGATTAAAGCGATGAAAAAAGAGAGAGACAAGTGTTTGTTGTGTGCGCGCCAAGCGCTCAAGTTACTGAAAAATTCGACCGTTTCTCTTATATAGTCAGTGTATAAATGGTGTAGAGAGCCAGAGAAAGCATTTCGTTTGCAATTTATGATGATTCTTTTTGAAAATTAAACAGAAGCTAATTAAATTTATTAACCCTTTAAATGGGTTGAAAAATAATTTCAAAATGGACATTCGCCGTTACTAAGCTCAAAGGATTCCATTTAACAATGTTCATGTGCCAAAGACATTTGCCAACGAGCGAAAGCAAATTGAAAAATACACTACCAAAGTGATAAAGAATCGTTAGGGAGGCAGATAGAGATCGAGAGAGAGAAATAAAAGAAGAAAAGAAACGTTAAACTGAGATAAATGCGACATGAACACTAATCCAATGACAGTTCAGTTATTGATGAATGCCCGTTAATAAAATGGATATGGTTGGCAAATAAATGATACTGAAATTTCGGTGATGATAGGTAAGGAGAAATGGAACAGACCAGAAATAATATCTCTCGCTCTTTCTCTATCGTTTTTATATTCATTCTGTCGATGCTGTGTGAAATAAGTGAAGTATTCAATCTAACGGATTGAAGAATGCACCCATACCACATTATTATTGCCACCGTTCAAAAATACAACCGAATGGATTGAAGGAAAAAACAACAATCGAAAGATGAAATGAACACCCAAAATCCTTGGCACGCACCATATAGATTGATTCTTTTGGTCGCAAATGACGGAAGGGGAAAAGAATTGGGCGATAGAATGACGAAGACACTGTGTGTTCGAAAAAGTTTCCAACAAATATAGAAATAGCATAGTGACTAACACGAAGGAATATAGGGTAAAATGGCATCTTTTCAATTTATCTCATAATCTCATCATGTGTTTTTTTTCTGCGTTCTCTTTGCACCCGGTTTTTCTCTCTTTTTTGGTCATGCTTTTTCGCTGAATTGCTTTGTACAAATAAGCAATAACATATTCTTTTCTCGGCTCTCCAAATGACTTCTTTTCCCATTTTGAAAAAAAAAAAACGCTTGAAAATGAGACGAAAAATTGGATTTAACTTAATCGACATTTGCCAGTGGGTTCACTTTTCCTCGTGTGCTTCTCTCATTTTGTGTGACTTGATGATTTTTTTTCTTGCCGTTTCTCATTCTCTTCTGTCAACAACTATCCTTTTGTGGAATCCATGGCATTCCTTTCAGAACATTTTCCTTTATGTCCAAAAAACGCTCAATAAATCCATGGCCATGTGTGTATTCGATTTAATATGCACTTAGCAATGAGGAACAAAAAAAGTAGGAGCGAAGAATGGGACGAGAAAAGAGATGAACACACAAACACTCAAGATCCATCTTGACAAGAAAAAGGAAAAAGAAAGTCTGAGAAAAGTGAAGAGAAAAATAAACGAAAAGAAAAATTCAAACTTTCAGCTGATCGCGTCTTTCCAACTGTCGCCATAGTTGTCATTCACGTTGATGACCCTTTTTTATTGCGCACTGCGTATATTGTGTATTGTATATACACTTTTTTGTCGTCTTTGTAACAGAAAGAGAGAGAGAGAGAGAGAAAGAAAAAGAGAGAAATCTCATCCCTCGAAATATATACATGCTATTCGTAACTTTTTTTTGTGTGTTTATTCCGAATATCGTTTTTGTCCCTCATCGTATCTTTGCATAATTGAAAATAGTGAGAAAAAAAATTTGCCTGAGAAAAAAGTATGCATACCGTTGAAATGTGCTATGTGCCATTTTCATCACCAGCACAAACCTATTGAAACCCCATTTTCAATATTTGAGTCAAAATTTGATGATAACATTTGTGAGATCGAAATGTTTCATTTTCGAAGTTTGACACAATGTGTTTCGAAGCGCACAAATTTTGAGTATGCAAGTAAACAGTGAAAATACACGCATTCCCATTGTATTATGAATATTCTATGATTTGATAATATTTAAGACTTGATGCTCTCGTGTTTTCTGTCTCTCTTTACTTTTGCATGTTTCCCCAGAGCAAATAGATCAAAACGAAAACAAAAAGAACGAAATGGCATGAAAATATTTGAATTGTTCATATATATGCATATGCAATGGTTTCTCGAGCATCTATCTTTCTCACGTATATAATCATATCTCTGCTTCTCTCTATAGACGAGGAACAACATGTAGCCTCCTTTTTTTATTATGTCATGAAAATTAACAATATCATCTCTGCAGAATTTTTGATGACACTGCAAAAAAAAAGTGTAGCAACAGAAGCATCGAAACAATGAAAATGTGTGTCTGTGTATATAGAGTAGAAGCAAATTTGAAGTTGAATATTGAGCTCTGCATTTTATATTGACATTGGGTGAGCTTTTGCGCACCTCTTGTAGTTTGCTATTCAGACTCTTGAGCTGTGTATGTGAAACAGTTGCATTTAAACTGTGTTTTTTTTTTAACCATAAAAATGGATAATTTTAAATTCATTTTCTTAATGTAGTTTAAAAGTTCCGATGTAGCCAAACCATGCGTATGGTACTCATAAAACTCAATGCGTTCAGAACTCTCTAGTAGAGCAGTGTGGGTAAGTCGAAAGCATACATGAGCTTAAGCATAACACTTAGCCATAATACATTATAGCAAAGATCATGCCACATCAAATATTTACATGAAGTAAACGGAAGTTCCCAATTCACGCAAGCATTCAGTGAATGTGTGTATATCTGTCGTATGGGCTCCATAAAATATGAACGCGGACATTTTTCAATAATATCTTTGTTGTCGCCGTCAGTCGATAGTTAAAAATGAACGAAGATGGTAGATGTGCGAGAGTGGTAAACACTTGGGTAAAATTTCAACTTATTCGAGCGACAGTGTTCTAATTCCAAAATTCCATTGCAGTACGTGCATACGGCACTGACTTCGAATATATGTATAATTCCATCAGTCAATATAAATATATTATTATAGTGATGAAAACATTTGCTTTTCTAGTGATGCGACACGATAAATGTGTATATGTTTCTATTATTGAATTGGATAAGATGCCTGTCATTTCGTTCTTCGTTTGTGCACACAAGCGCAATACTATGCTGCCGTTGATGTTTATGTTGAAATGTATGCGTACAACAAAATCTTTAGTACACAATAATAAATCGCTTTCCCAATTGAGACGAAGATATGTATGTTTGTTTGTTCAGCAATCCTTTTCCAATTTCTCTACACGGCGAGCGGCTATCTCACTTTGATTCACGCCAATGGTGCAACAATGTGTGTGTGAGGGTGAGGTAAATGAGAGCAGAGAGAGAGAGAAACAGTTGTCCCTGTCATTTTGATGCTATTTAATCACAGTTGAATTTTATTTCCTACATGGAACAGCCTTTGGTTGATCCTAAAAGCTATCAAAAGGAATTATTTGAATTTTACCCCAAAACGTTGAGCCTCTCTGTTTGTCGAATGTTTACGGTTTAAGAAAAGCAACAAACTCGTCGAATGCGAATAAAGTAGCTGTATTTGAGGACTGTGTTGTGCGTGTATGTGATTTTGATTTTGTGCAAACCGATTTCAAAACATCAACTAGAAATCGATATTTATATGTATGATCGCCCGAGAATGAAAGCGAGACTTCTATTTGACAGTCAGCACTTTTTGTATGGCGGTGTTACATTTAAATAAGTTGTGAATAGAAGTCTCGCTTTCATTCTCGGACATTCATATATATATACGAAAAGCAAATAAGCAATGAGAGCATGAAAGTGTTCGACTCGAAAAAATAAATAAACATTTCAAACACTTTGCGAACATAGATTCATCGTATTTGTCAGATGCAGACAGAAATCAGATCACTGAACCTGAAAATATCGACAGAAAAGAATTATCATCCAGCGAACGAGTGGCAAAAAAACGGGGCGAGAGATATGCCAAATAACAACAATGGACCACGCGCCTAAGCTAAGAACGATGGAGATATTTTATTGTTAAAATGTGTTAGTTATGTACTTGTGATTTTGAATGACAAAAAAATAACGTA